TTTCGTGAGTTCCTGAGGCGCAAGGCGGACTGGGGGAGTACGCGCACCCGGCTGGGACCTCGCAGCTCCCTGGGGGGCTGCGAACTGCGCAACCGTCGCCATTTCCGTGGGCTCCTGGGAGGCACGGCGGATTAACGAGTACGCGCACCCAGCCGAGACCTCGCAGTTTCCTGGGCTGCGCAACCGTCGCCACTTCGGCGGGCTCCTGGGAAGCATGGCGGAGTTGGGGATTACGCACACCCAGCCGAGACTAGGGCTTCAACCCCAGGGCCTAGTGCTTAGGGCTTCGAGCGTAAGCCTTAGAGCTTGGCGCCTAGGGCTTAGGGTTTAAAGCCTGGGATGATAGTGTCAGGTCTTAGGGCTTAGGGTTTACAACTTAGGGATTCAGGCTTAGGGCTGAGGGCCTAGTGCTTAGAGCTTAGGGCTTAGGAATTAGAGCTTAGGAGTTCGATTATGGGTGTTAGGGTGTTAGGCTTAACGCGTTAGGGTTAAAGGAGTAGGGTTAGGGTGTTACGTTCAGGGTGTTTGGCCTAGGGTGATATGATTTGGGTGTTAGGCTTAGGGAATTCCGTTTGGGTGTCAGGGCCATGGTGTTAGGGTTATAGTCTTTGGGTTCGGATTAGGATGTCAGGGTAGTTGTTGTTCGGGTCAGAGTGTTACGCTTAGGCTGACAAGGTTCGTGCTGGGGCGGTAAGGTTCGGAGTAGGATGGTGGGGCCAGGTAGGGGTAGGGTGTTAGTGTTCGGGTGTTAGGGTTAGGGCGGTTGGGTTCGGGTTATGGTGTGCGGGTTAGAGCTTACGGCTCAGGGCGGTTGGGTTCGGGTTCGGGTGTCAGGGTCAGGGTTTTAGGGTGTTGGAGTCAGGGTGTTCGGGTTTGGGTGTTAGGCTTAGGGTATCAGGTTTAGGATGTTAGGGCTAGGGTGTCAGGGTTGGGGTTGGGGCGGTAGGGTCAGGCGTAGGGTTCCGGAGCTCGGGGGGTGGCGTGGCCAAAGGGGGGAGGGGGGGGTCCGGTTTTCGAGCTCAAGGGGGGGGGAGGGGTTCAACCCCGCCTCCCTTTCGAAAGGGGGGCGGGTCCGGGACGACGGATCGCGAGAGGGGGTGAGGGGTCCCAGGACGACTGGGTCCCAGGACGAGACGGCCGGGAAAGGGGCAGGGGTGGACCTAAACGGTGTTTTGGCGATTTCGTGGGCCGTTTTCGTTTCGATGTCGTTTTGCAGCACAGGCGGATTCAAGACAAAACGAGGAAAAACGAAAACAAAACGAAAGCGAAAAACACCGTTTAGGTCCAGCCTTGAAGGGGGGTGACCAAGGGGGGGGGGAGGAAAATCCTGGACCCCTTCCCCCCTTTGGGGCATCCAGCGGCGCGCCCTCCCGAAGTGGGCATGCGGAGGGCAGAGGCAGGCATGGGAGGGAAGAGGGAGGAGGAGGGGGAGGAGGAGGAGGAGGGAGGAGGAGGAGGAGGAGAGGAGGAGAAGGAGAGGAGGAGGATGTGGAGGAGGAGGAGGAGGAGGAGGAGAATGGGGAGGGGGAGGAGGAGGAGGAGGAGGAGGAGGAGGAGGAGGAGGAGGAGGAGGAGGAGGAGGGGGATGAGCGAGTGAGTGGGATAGGAGGAGGAGGAGGAGGAGGAGGAGGAGGGGGATGAGCGAGTGAGTGGGATACAGGGCGCTGTTTCTTCAAGACGAGACCCAACACCACAGGATGGTTTGGAAATCGACCTTCAGAGGCCCGCGCGGAGTTTGACGAAGGCGGCGCCGGATGCGCCGCAAGGGGGACTTGCACTGTTTGGATTTGGGCCTGCGGCCAGGGCCAGAGACTTCCAGACGTTGCCGACGTCGGCGCACGAGGGTTGGACCTTCTCGTCGCTATGCAGGGGTGCTCCAGTGCCGATCCGAGGACTCTGCGCAGACCTCTGAAGGTTTATTTTTGTCCGTGCTGTTTTTGTTTCTCGACACTCGGGGGTGGACAGAACCCCCACCCTGACACGTCGATTAGTGACTTGTCCGTTGTCGGTTCTCGAGAGGGCGCCGCGGCCGTCATTCTCCAGGCTTGCGACCGCCCGGCTTGGGCCCGAGGTCGTTTTCACTAAACCACGTTTTACTAGAGGGGGTTCTGTCCATCCCCGAGACACCTCTCGGGCGACATACTGCAGCGAGCGGCTTGAATATGGAACACTTAATTACTTTTCAAGAGGGGCTCGGTCGTGCCTGAGGCCTGCATGCGTTGTTTATCGTTCCTCATGCCCTATGTATCATTCATTATTCCTTCTGCTTTCTCCCTGGACAAGAAAAGGGGCTTCGTTCCTTGCTCATCCTTAGGTCAGGCCGATGACTGTACACATATCCGCTGCCCCCTGGTGGGGCTCAGCCTGGGCCCAGGAGCGAGGCGTGCCGGGCCAGCAGGGCGTAGTACGCACCGCTCCTGGGCCCAGGACGGGTTCGGCCAAGGGAAAGGCGCATATTCACGTCAAGGGCAGCCCCTGGGGGGAGGTGGGCCTGTCCCTCTACCGGAGGAGTATCCGTAAGGGCTTCGCCCCCTGCCGCTGGCCCCCTCTCGGATAATGGACAATGCAAGAGCGAAATCATAAGGCCCCGGCGCCGCCGTGAAGCAGCGTCGGGACTTCACGCGAAGACGATGAGTAATCGGCAAGACAAACTGAGATGCTGATGATATTGTTGAATTCGGTGTTGTATTTCGAGGGTTTATGGCTTTGGATACGCGATCATTGCATCATTTACGAAGGCGTGTGGCTTCGGGGTCGCAAATACTATCTGCGTCATTTACGCAGATTTATGGTTTCTGATACGCGAATGTTGCATACATTACAAGGGTTGATGAGCTCGGACACGCGATTATTGCATAATTTACAAGGTTGTATGGCTTCGTGGTCGCAACTATTGTATAAATTACGCAGGTGTATTATTCCGGAGACGCGAAGATTGGGTAAATTACACGGTTTTATGGCTTCGGGGACGCGAGCATCGCGTGATTTACGAGCGTTTGTAGCCTCAGGGACGCAAGCATCGCATAACTTACAGGGCTTACGGCTTCGGGGACACGAATATTGTATTTTGCCAGGGTTTATGGCTTGGGGGACGCGAAGATCTTATATTTCAGGAGGGTTTATGGCCTCGGAGACACGAATATGGTGTAATTTACCAGGGTTTTTGGCCTCGGAGGCGCGAGTTTCATGTACTTTTACGTGTCCCACGCCCCCCCCCCCAGGAATACAGAGCACGCGATTCGGGCGTGGTAACTCGGTTCCTTCTCGGCTCCCCCTCTCGCGCGGTCCATCAACAAGGAACAGTAAGCAGCAAGAAGCAGAATTGTAACAGTGGAAACTGGAAACTGGAACTGGCGCAGGGAACAGCAAACCCTCGTCCTACAGCCTGGTGGCCCCACAAGGGGCCGGCGGATTCAATTACACCAGAGATCGACGGGGAGGAAATCTCGTTGAGGGGATCGACCGGGAACCCCGGAGCCCGGGAACCCGGGAACCCAAAACCCACCGAAATCGGCCCGGAACCAATATCCGGGAACCCAGGAACCCAGAACCGGGAACCTTGGAACCCAGCCTGCTACCAAAATCGGCGGGAAATGTTCGCCAAATCTTTCAATTTCCACTAGGGCCCCTTCAGTGCAAGCACTGGTTGGGGACGAATGGGTTAAAAATAGTCCAGGGACGATTTTTTGAGTATCGTTGGCTATCGTTGAGGTTTGCTCGATTCTTCTTTCTATTTTCCGCCCAGAAGCCGCCTGTAGGGGGACAGGCCCGACTTCACCCTAGGGGGAGATGGGCTAGTAGGTCACCACCCACCAAACCACCCCAACCCAACCCGAAGGCCTCAATTTGCACTCCATTTCCAGTGGGGGGGGGGTCGGGGAACGTCGAGAAAACAGATACGGAACCCGTACCCCCCCTAACCCGAAATTCGGGCCTTCGGGTTGGGTTGGGGTGGCACCCCAGTGGTCTGGTATCGGAGGCCTGGAAATTGGCACCAACACCAAGACAGAGGGTTGCCTCCACAGGGGGAAGAGGATCCTAGATGTTCGGTGTTGGTGGTAATAGTTCGGCAACCTTGGAAGCCAGAATGTTACCACCATCACCGAGATCGGGATCTTCTTCCCCTGGTGGAGGCACACCGCCGAAATTGGTGTTGGTGTCAATCTCTAGGCCTGCGATGGTAGGTAGTCAGCAGGGGGAGCGCATCGGCCCCCCCCTTCGTCCTCTCCTCGCCGATCGAGGCCCGACGGCCCACGCCGTGCGGGGAGGTGCGCGGTTTCGCCCTGGGGGGGCGCGTCGCCGATCGGTCGGCGACGCGTCGCCGCTGGGAAGCGCGAGGTCTCCCCCGCCTGGAGCCTGCTCCCCCCCCCACGTGCAGATCCTGCGGCTGCGGGGAAACACGGCGCAACCCTCCCCCCTCCCCCCTGCAGTTCAGGGTTTTTTCTGTTGCGTCCTCGGGGGACCTCGCCGGTCCCAAACATTGGTGTCTTTCTGGGGGCCCGACGCGTGCCCGATGCGGACTCGGCGCGGATTTGGCGTGGATTCGACGCGGGTTCGACACGGATTCGACACGGATCTGATGCGTCCGACATGGATTCGACACGGATTCGACGCGGACAGGGCCGCGACGGGACAGACAAGGTCCCCCGAGGATGCAACATAAAAGGTTGGCACGTGTACGCATCGCTGGTCCGACGCTCCAGCTCGGCAGATCCGAGCCCAGCATTGCCTTCGGCGGGAGGGGGGGGTGGGGGGCGTTCACGCCGCATGTTCTGCGCGAGTGTACTGCTTGATTGTTTCCGACGCCTGGGTTCCAAGCCTTGCCCCTCGGCAACCCAATGCAGCTTCCCCGCCGCCTCCGCACCTTCCCCCTCGACTTGCGGAGGAACGAGGCCGAGGCTGGAGGGTCGAGTACGCATGAGAGGGGGAGGAGGAGGAGGAGGAGGAGGAGGAGGAGGAGGAGGAGGAGGAGGAGGAGGAGGAGGAGAGGCTCCGTCGCGAAGACGTGTTCTTCGGCCCGAGTCGCCGTGCGCTCGGGCCCCGCGGGGGCGGCATGTCTGGCGCGGGCGGCTTCGGCAGGCATGCGGTGGGCGAGGCCGACATCAGGCAGGTCGACGGCGGGCAGCTGGTGGGCCAGTCTCGTCGCACCTCCTCCTCCCTCCTCCTCCTCCTCCTCCTCCTCCTCCTCTTCCCTCCTCCTCCTCCTCCTCCTCCTCCTCCTCCTCCTCCTCCTCCTCCTCCTCCTCCTCCCACCTCCTTCCTCCTCTTCCTCCTACTCCTCTTTCTCCCCCTCCTGCTCCTCCTCTTCCTCCTCCTCCTCCTCCTCACCATCATCATCAGCATCATCATTACCATTGTCATCATGATCATCGTCATGATCATCATCATCAGCATCATCATCATCATCGTCATCATCATGATCATTGTCATCATCATCATCATCATCAGCATCATCATCATCATCAGCATCATCATCACCACCATCATCATCATCATCATCATCATCATCATCATCATCGTCATCGTCATCGTCATCATCGTCATCATCGTCATCATCGTCATCATCGTCATCATCATCATCCTCTCCCTCTCTCCTCCTCGTGATCCTCCTGCATCCTTTTTCCCTTGCGACTGGTGACTCACTGTCGCACCCCCAGACGAATGGGTAGGGCGGGCGGGGAGTTTCGCCTGAGCCTTCCTCACCACACATGATCCTGAAAATTGAACTCTGCAACATTTTCAAGGATTGTGGGCGGGCCGTTTGCTCTCGCCTTGGCGCCGCGCACATTCATTTTGTCACAATACAAGCTGGTTCAATACTTCGTATGGTTGAAGGCCTACAGATAGTGTTCTGGTGCGCTGTAGCGTTGTCGGTACACAACAGTCACGTGGATCCCCGGCGTTGACGTCCGAGGAATGGTCTTCTGACACGGTTTGGGATTGTCAGGGCGCAACAGTCACGTTGGTTCGTGGCGTTCGAATCCCAGAAATTGCGTTTTGGCGCGATTGAGGATCATTGGAAGGTTTTCTGCCAATGGGGCACTCCCCGTACGTAGACACATATTCTTGCATTGGCATGTGAAGAGGAACTTTGGAGGGAGGGTCCATTGTAGCGTCGTTGAGGCGTCTTAGGTGTACACTGGTCCTCCTCCTCCTCCTCCTCCTCCTCCTCCTCCTCCTCCTCCTCCTCCTCGTCTGGAAATGAGGAAGCCCGAATCGTATGCGCCACGCGTGGGCTACACCCTCGCACTGGCCGCACCCGGTGCCAGTGTGAAGTCGCCGGCCGCACGGACGGAGCCTTGTTTACCCTGGATAGGGGTCTAGAGACTGTGTTTCCAAGGTGCTTAGTACCACGGCAGCGTACTCCAGATTTTGTAATAAAAGGGAGGGGGTCTGGACCCTCCAAGACAAGCCTTTTCAGACCTCCCCCGTGGGAGAACCCTCCAAAACATCGTCCCCAGACCCACCCAGGCCCTCCAAGACAGCCTGGAAGAGACCCCCCCCGAAATGAGACCCCCCTCCCTTTATTACGACATCTGGAGTAGTTGCTGTGCCTCTCTGAGGAGAGGTGTCTGTGCACTCTGACGCGCTTCCCGAACCGCTCGGGACGTTCTTGTTGTCTTCCCGTACACGTCTTCTCAAGAGCGCTGGCCCTCGTCGCACCGACAGGCGTGTCGGCAAGGCGGACTGGGCGCTTCGGTCGATAAGCCCTCAGCACGTGTCGCGCTGGAGCTGGAATCCCAACAACTATACGGATGGTGGGCGAGGGTGTGTCGCTTTCGAGATGTGGGTCTCACTTTAGCGTCGCACGCATAGTCCTCAAAGTGCCCAACCGATTCACGGGTGGAGCGTGGCCCCTTGTCAATTTAAGGCGTCCACGAGCCCGCTTCGACGTGCGAGAAACCCGCCGACCACATATTGGATGCTTCCCTTGACGTCCACATACGTATGTGAAAACACTGCCTCAATGCGTGCGCGCCACACGCATGTTGGAGACCCCCAATCCTTGCACATATTTCCACATGACAAAATCAACCGGCCACATGATACACCCTCGCGCATGCACGCGTGAAATTTTGTCCAGCATGCGCAAGCGCCAGACGCCTGTTGCGCACCCCCTCCGGGCACGCATGTTTACAATTGAAGAATCCGTATACCACATGTTGGACATCCCCCCTCGCGCCTGCACATATAAAAGCAGGTCCGAAATGCGTCTGCGCAAGGCGCATGTTGGATACCTCGTCCGCGCACGTATGTTTACGTTTGAAGACTCCACCGACCATTTGTTGGATACCCTCCTGACGCTCACGCAAGGAAAAGCACTTCCCAAACGCGCACGCGCCAGGCACATTTTGGACACCTCTTTTCGCGCCTGTACTTTAACATGTGAAGCATCCGGCGCCAACTACTCGACACCCCTCCAGTCTAGGACCAAAGGCCCGATCAGTTAAAGGGAGCCTCGGGCCGCAGCGCGTACCAGGAGCATGTTGCGTCTTGGGACTCCTTCAGATTCGATGGCCAAACGTTGAATATTGTGCGTCAGCCATGCAGATGGATGACGGCTCCTGTTCCAAATTGGGCTGTCGGCTGAAACGCTTTCAAGCTTTAGGACCAGGGGCTCATGTTTGCGCAACAGAGGAGAAGGAGGAGGAGGAGGAGGAGGAGGAGGAGGAGGAGGAGGAGGAGGAGGAGGGTGGGTCCTTTTGGAAACGGGCCATCTCGCCGGAGCACCAGAACCAGGGGGGCGCTCGACTCTCTACGGGTACGCTTCCAGCTGTGAACAGGAATGCCTCTAGGGACTTGTGAGGACGGCTCGGGGTGGGTGCCTGCAGCATCATTGATGCAGCCTGGTTGTGGTCCTCAACCTCTTCGTCCACCCCCTCGTTCCTCGTTGTGGTTGTGGTTGTGGTTGTGGTTGTGATTGTGGTTGTGGTTGTTGTTGTTGTTGTTGTTGTTGAACATTATTAATTCTAAAGAATAATTATTGTTGGGACCCCTGGTGCACGGCCCCCCTGCGCCGCCTAGGCCGCAGCTACATTTTCATCATTTTCGTGAGGAAGCCTCAGGTAATACGATGTGATCAAGATCCGGTTGTTTTGTTGTAATCCGTTTTCCCTTGCAAAAAACACTATAAAATGACATTTCTTGTTCTAATATAATCAAATTTCAAGAATCCCTTGCAAAAAATAAGGTAAAGTGGACATTCGCGCGCGCAAGACGAAATCCTTCCAAAAGCTTAGTGTTCGGAGCGATTTTAACATAAAAACATCAAAAAACCAATGGTTTTTCAACAAAAAAATGTCAAAATCTCATCCCGCGCGCTCTTGCGGATTCGTAGGAAAACCAACACTTTTTAAACATTTCTGTCAAACGGGCTTTTGCGAGCAACTTTTTCGAACTTCTGCGACAACGGTTGCGCACCTGCCAGGGCCATCATCCCTGTCAAATAATACCATGCGGGACACATTCGTTTTTTCTTCGCGCGCGCACGCCGTCGTCGTCGGCCGCGGGGCCCTGAATAGTAGCCACGGTCGTCCGCATGCCACGAAGTGAAGTGTCCGAACGTCATAGGGCGGGAAGCTGGGTGTGGGTGGTGGCGAAGAGTCGTTTGGAAATTTGGTAGAGCTTGAACCGGCCCCCCCACAAAGTGGGGGTATTGCCCGCCTCCTATGAAAACCCTGGCACTGGTGAGAACGGAGTGTCCCCACGTGCTAGTAATTGTTGTTGTTGTTGTTGTTGAACATTATTAATTCTAAAGAATAATTATTGTTGGGACCCCTGGTGCACGCCCCCCCTGCGCCGCCTAGGCCGCAGCTACATTTTCATCATTTTCGTGAGGAAGCCTCAGGTAATTCGATGTGATCAAGATCCGGTTGTTTTGTTGTAATCCGTTTTCCCTTGCAAAAAACACTATAAAATGACATTTCTTGTTCTAATATAATCAAATTTCAAGAATCCCTTGCAAAAAATAAGGTAAAGTGGACATTCGCGCGCGCAAGACGAAATCCTTCCAAAAGCTTAGTGTTCGGAGCGATTTCAACATAAAAACATCAAAAAACCAATGGTTTTTCAACAAAAAAAAATGTCAAAATCTCATCCCGCGCGCTCTTGCGGATTCGTAGGAAACCCAACACTTTTTAAACATTTCTGTCAAACGGGCTTTTGCGAGCAACTTTTTCGAACTTCTGCGACAACGGTTGCGCACCTGCCAGGGCCATCATCCCTGTCAAATAATACCATGCGGGACACATTCGTTTTTTCTTCGCGCGCGCACGCCGAAATCTCCAAAAACCATTGGGCTTCTTAAGAATTTTAGCACCGCGCATCATAAAATCACACGAATCGCACCGTAGGTCCTCGAAAAACACCTGCACGACTTTTCAAAATTTCTACCCGCGCGCGCTGTCCTAACAACTTCTGTGGGTGTGGGTTCTCCACGCCAGTGTAGTAGCCACGGTCGTCCGCAGGCCACGAAGTGAAGTGTCCGAACGTCATAGGGCGGGAAGCTGGGTGTGGGTGGTGGCGAAGAGTCGTTTGGAAATTTGGTAGAGCTTGAACCGGCCCCCCCACAAAGTGGGGGTATTGCCCGCCTCCATGAAAACCCTGGCACTGGTGAGAACGGAGTGTCCCCACGTGCTAAAGTGATTGTTGTTGTTGTTGTTGTTGTTGTTGTTGTTGTTGTTGTTGTTGTTGTTGTTGTTGTTGTTGTTGTTGTTGTTGTTGTTGTTGTTGTTGTTGTTGTTGTTCGCGAGGACACTACTGGAGGCCCGTTGCTCGACCCCCCCCCCCCCGAGCAACACCACGGGGCCACGCACGGGCCCTGCAGGGCCCCTGGTCCGAGCAACGCCACGAGGCCTCGCCAGGCCGCTGCGGGGGTCTGCAGGGCCCGGCGGCGTTGCTCGGCAGGTCCTTTCGGGACTGCTGCGGAGCCCCATACAGGCCCCAAAGGGCGCACCCCTCTCACGGATCGTGGCCCTGGCCCCACACGGAGCTCCACCGAGGTTTGATTTGGGCACACACACCTCCCGAGGATCGTGGCTCAGTGAGCTCCACCGAAGCTTGGTTTCGGCGTACCCCTCTCACGGATCGTGGCCCTGGCCCCACAGGGGGCTCCACCGAGGCTCCATT